CCCCAAAACCCCAAAACCCCAAAACCCCAAAACCCCAAAACCCCATGCATCAATAAATAATTGAAGTAAGAGTTAGCTCTTGGGAAGAGAAGGTATTTATTTAAGCCTAGCTGAGTTAGGAGCTAGGCCATCTGTAGGCTCTTTCTCAGGCTGCTTTATCTTACTCTTCGCCTTTCTTTCTCCTAATCTTTAAAACTTTGTACTTACTTTTCTTTCTCGGTTCTGCAGGCTTCTTTTTCTTGGAAGCTCTATTGAAGTTAATAAAATGATTTTGAGGATAACATACGGAGGCTTTTTCTTTGATTTTGACTGCTTCCCTTTGTTTTCTTTTAACTCTTCTTTTATCTCTGGTTTATTATTTTCAATTTTCTGATTTTCAGGCTTGTTCTCAACTTTTTCTCTAAAATAATTATCAATATCACAACTAGTTCTACCTACTCTTTTTCTTCTTCTACTTTTTGTCGCTTGTGTGGCAACCTATGAACCATAAAATAACTTTATTATCAATTCGGAGACCAAAATGCAGCTTGTAATAGACTGTGGACTATTCTCTTACTTTTCTTGCTGTGAGCTTTTATGATTAGTTGTTCTAAAATTACATAAGTAATCAATGAATTATTATAGTTTAAATTTATGATAATTCTTTGCTCCATCCATAACTTCCTTAAATGCCTGAACTCCTTCGGAGTTCAGGCATTTTGGGAATCCTATGTCTTGAGTGACCGAATTCGCCAAAATATATAGAATAACTACCTAAGTCATGAAAAGGAGGGAAATTTGATTGTTCTTTTAGAATATTTCGGCAAAAATTGAAAGCAGTTGATAACCTCTTACTCCAGTTTTAGGCTTTTCTGCTTTCTGTTCTGAAGACTCAGTTTTCAATGATACCGGAGCTACTTCTGGCTTCTTGGCGGTCAAAGTAGGCGGCTTATTATTAGTAAGAATATTGAAGATCGGTCCACTCTTTTTCTTAGTTACAGGACTCGGTTGGAACCAATCTGAGGTATCACCTGGAAATATTTTCTTCTCTGGAACTGTGTTCGCTATTCTTTAGAGATGTTAGAGTGAGACCATCCTTATGGTTCCTTCTTTGAAGGATTTGTAGTAGCTTACGAGTGCGGAAAAGGATAAGGAGGCTGTTTACCGTCTGCCATTGAGAATAGTTATCAAAATTTTTATTAAATTCTCAATTATAGTTTTGATTAAAGGGGTTTTGGGGTTTTGGGGTTTTGGGGTTTTGGGGTTTTGGGGTTTTGGGG